AAGAGGTTCATCGAGGAAAAATGAAACGATGAACATCGCCGTTCCTCCTAGAACCGGAAAAAGGAGAAACCGTTCTGTCGTCGTGCAAATACGCGCGATACGCGCCAACAACTTCGACAAACACCAAGTGGTCTCAGAATTTTTGTACATACATACGTCCATACGTACATAGATAATGGTTCTTTCCAAGTTAAAGTTCTGCACAAAGTTGCGCTGAAACGTACCGTCAGTTCGCGATCGGGTGACGCGGTGTTAGTGACACGAGGGGATCGTTGTACAGAACGTGGCGCGATAGAACGATTTAACGATTTGCTTTTGTTGCCTAGCGATCCGATATGTATTTAGTTTTACGAACTTTCACAAGTCCCGTATATACAACACGTAACCGTGTTGGATATTTTCAATTGTGTAATATTTGGTATATAGGCTGCCCCCTTTATGTAATGGTGCGTTGCGGAAGTTACCGAATAGGCGGGTCACGCTTCTTTTTAATGGTCTCTTTGCCGTTGCATTTAAAGGGCGAAGAGTGTGTTTTGCCGTATCGTCGGACAATCTACCAGGTGGGTCTGGAACCAGAAACAAATGAGTCGGTGGTATTTGTAGGCTGTTCTTATTCAGCCTATTACAGGGGGCATGAAATTTCAAACGGAATGGCAGATTGCAGGCGTTCACTGATGCATTAATATCGGTAAAGTTTTCGATAATGTTAACACTAGAACTACCAAGCAAGTCAAAATGACTTGTCAATACATTCTTACAACGACGATTATGTATTATATGAAAGTGAAGAAATTAGTCAATTTATAAATTCCTAAATTTTCAAAAGTTATTCACGTTTATCTAACGATCTAAATTTGTGTTTTTAATTCATAGAAATATAGTTAACCCTCCATAATACGGACACCATCCGTCACTTACTCTAGATGAACCAATTATTGCCACCTTAAAATTGTAACGTAACTTCGTTTAATCATTTTACGCGTTCGAGTTTACGTCAGATGGCCTGTTAATTTTATTAAAAAATAATTAATGCGCTCTGCATCACGCTACATTTCTCAATTACATTTTATACTCTGTAAACAGATAGACTAAACAAATATTTGTATGGTCAGCTTCTTAGTGTGTACTAGACCTGTTTTTTTATCTGCGAGAGAGATAGTGGAAAGCATTTCTGTAACAACTGAAATTGCCAGTGTTGAATGTATGCTAAACTAAATTGTATAATATAAAATGTATATAAAATTAAGCATGAATTCCGATAAAAGCACCTTTATGACGTCAATACTTGTAAAATAAGAATTTTTAAATCCGTCACTATGACGAATTTGTTTGTTCTACTGCTAAAGGAACAGTCGATGGGTTAACGATATTTCCGGAAAATATTAGTTCGTTGAATTACGATCGACATTATTTTCTATGATCTATATATTATCTAAAATATTACATTTTATTATGTTACTAGCTCAAATATTACAATTATAGCCTTTTCTTTAGTATTTTGTTTTTCCTTTCGTTAGTAAGAAAGTTGTCGTAATTACTCTTCCAATCGACTAAAAATTTTTAATCATTTTACAAAAATTAATGGAAACAGAAAATTAAGTGCTGCGTTTTTTATCATATGAATTATAGTTTTAATTGCATGCACTTTCTATATGTATAAGTTTATTTGTTATTTTAAGTAAAACAGTCTAGGATGACAGTAATTCGATAGGTGGCAGTAAATGGGTCCTTTGCCCTAGATCAAACAACGAAATTCATCAAGTGGTCCACGAAATCCTTTCGATTCTAGAACGAAAAAATAACAGACACTGTCCCTCCTGATTCCTGGAGTCGATTCCCATCCGTGTCAGCGCTCATCGACGATGAATCGTCATTGTTAAATACATAAACACGACGTGTAAATATTTGCGGTAATTATCACTATTATCGCGGTCAAATTTCCGGGATCACTTAGCAGAACTAAAACAAACCGATGTTACAAAATCGCGTGATATCAGCAACAAGACTTTACGCGCGCGTGTCGGCGAGAAAGTAACGAGCTCTTATCTACATTGCTTACGTTAGAATCTACATAAACATATGAATGTACCGAACGACAATAAAATTTCACGATCGGTCGTAAAACATGCATTCAGGTCTGAAGCATCCACCATTCGTCGATACGACGACTTCGTCTTCCATCGACCTGTTTTGGAGAAACACAAAAATCATTTTTACGATTCTTAGATCGCAAGGGGCCTGTGATCCTGATCACTGTGGAATGTTTATGGAAAATCGCGGTTTTCAATACTGACTTATGATAGCAGAAACTGGACAGGAAACATAACTCATCTATCAAGGGTTCTGCTTCTACAGTAAATCCTCGACGAGTGCTCGAAGGTTCCTCGACACTGAACATTAAATAGTTTATAAATTAATGGCCATATGCGGCTGAAACAAATAGCATTGGCTTCAGAATTCCAAGCTTTATCACTATGCTAAACCTCGTTAAAAAATCAATGATACACCTGGGGATCTCTCCTTGTTAGCACCGAGGAGCCTTTGAACACTCATTGATGATTTACTGTATATGACACTTTGAAAAACAGAGGTCAAAATTGTGTAGACAAAATCTGGAAATAGGGTCATATGAAATTAAAAATGCAAAGTTTTTCATTAAATATATGTATGTGAGTGACTCTGGTGTGAACCACGATAAAAGCAAAATATTGAAAATTCTTTGACTTATTCTTGAAATAAGTTTTTCTTTCTGAAAGAAACTGAATAAATAAAAATTGGATGAACCATATATTTGGATCGTAGGTCGTACCATAAAGAATGGAATCACAAATCAAACGTACCAAAAAGATTTGAAAACAATCAAATCATTTTTTCTTTGTCGTTCTAATCGTGTCGAGGAGCCTTTGTAGTACACCCGTAAAGTGTATTAAAGACCTTAAGAGACTATAAGCAGAGACTAAACAGACTAATAAGAAAAATCGCCTGGACATTAAATTAGTTTTGAAAGAATAACGGTTGTATGTTATGGGACTCGATCTTCTAACAATAAGAATTGAAATAAGTGCCACTCGACCGAAAGTTTCAACATCGACCAAAAAAATGACGTCAAAGTGCGTCACAAGCAGTTCTGGAAATTAACAAAGATAACTTTCTTTTCATAATTTTTTGGACTTTTTACGTTTTCTTAAACACATGTAAGTAAAATGACTAGGGAACAAAAATAAAATAGAACACCAACGTCTGGTTTTTATTCACCTCTAGCAAAGTGGTCAACACATTGTTGATCAAGTATAAAGTGACCCACGTGTTCCTGATCGAGGAACCTTTCAAAATTTTCTGCGCAGCCAGACAGGCGAACGTCACCTGCATATCATTTAAAACATAGACCCATATTGGTATTTCTTTTTCATTTATGGGAGATCGGGGTAAGATGGTGGTACTAAACGAAAATAAGTGTAACTTTTTTGTTTCTTATACCAAAAAAATAATACTTTACCATAACAATCATACATGTTTTAGTAACAAAAATATATAATACAAAAAAGAATAATTTTACAGTTATCTTTAGTATAAAATTAACTAATTTGTGTCTTACCCCGATCTGCCCTGATTTATTTTACATATATAAAAAAAAACTTAAAAATTCAAAGAATTCAACAAAGAAATTTATTTTTATACATATTTAGAGCTGTTTATAACAGTAACAAATATTCCGTTCGTGTGACACTTATTTCAAGTCTTAGGAGATCGGGTCCCAAAACCACCAAATATTTCCTTTTTCAAAACTAATTTATCACCTGAGTAACTTCCCTTCCAAGGTTTATATTGTGCTTCTAATATCCTATAATACATCACTAAACTGTACAGAATTTACGTTACTGTTTTTCTTACATTAAGCCATTCGATCACGTTCTTATTTTCAACACCATCGACTTCTAAAATGAGACAAGTTAACCGGCTAGTTCCGTATTTCCCTCGAAATAGCCTAGTGCGTATGTGTGTGTGTGTGACTTATGGACGTCAATGCGCTGCCAAAGAATTTCCGAGTGATCCTTTCACGAATTCTTGACGCCGCGAGGTGTTTGCACACCGTTTCGCGATCGTACGCCGGCCATTCAATCGCAAACACGTTTCTGTTAACTGGCCCGCGTGTATCCAAATACATTCTACGCAAACGAAAGCTGTTGGGGATTCCAATATGTTCCCGAAAGGATCGATTGTACTCGTAAAAACATAGGACCCCCCACCCCCCCCCTGCACAATGTGATATTTTATAAATCCAACAAAACTAAATTCATGAAACCGTCTTTTTATTGCGCAAAAAATATTTTCCTTTTGGTTAATGTAGTCACTTTGATCATTATTTGAGCACATTTATATGTTTATAATATAATAACAATTTATATCATTTTATTTGACAAAGTCTGGAGAATTATTTCGTGTCAAAAGCAACTGAATAATTGGAACTGTAAAATCACAAAACATCTCCAAAGTTGGGAATGTGCAATTATTTTAAAATGTGATTTTTGTCGAAATCTGTACGTTATGACTAAGTAGAAGTAGTCAACAATAGACGGACATATTAGGTAGTTATATTCGAAAGCATGCGTAACCGATAAATTTTCAAAGTTTACTATTTCCTGTATGAAGATTTACATAGAGGCATTCTATTGTATCAGAAAAATCCAATAAATTTTGATCAGAGAAATCCGATAAATTTTTATCAGAAGAATCAGATAAATTATGACCAGAAATATCCGATAAATACCGATCAGAGGAATCTGATAAATTTCGAACAGGATGTGTATTTGTTCAACCCTCGGGCAGCGTCGCTACAAAAACATCGGGTTTACGATTATCGCTCCGTAAACGTGGCGCATGATCTTTTTCCTCGGCGTTCGCTCGTAATTATGGTAAACCTTTTAAGTAGCGATAAATTAAATGCAATCTGGGGAGATGACTGGGAGAGGCTGACCCACGTATACACGCTTCTGTTACAGGACCTTACGATCAAGGCGACGAAAAAAGAGAAACACCGGCAAGTCAAACAAATCAGGTCACAACCATGAAATTCACGATCCCGCTGCAGCAGTTCAAGAGTGAGTAATCATCTGTGCGTGAACAACGCGAAACGTAGAGTTGGACACAAATTTATTCGAATAATACGCAATGAAAAGTAATAGTATCTATGACAATCACCCTGACATTTAAGGGAGTATTCTACTGTGAGAGGCAGTTTTTTTTAACTTTCTTCAGGAATTTTTTTTAATGACTTAATGAAACATTTTTATGCTGAACCTTTTGTTTGTATATCTATTACACCTTAAACTGTAAATAAAAATTTTGTTTGTTAAAAATATGGAATCAAAATTAAGTACCGATTTTTTGGTGTTTTCCAAGCTGTAAAATTAAAAAGAAAAATAATTTGGCTTAATTCTGGAGAAAACGCTTTATCTAGATAATGAATTTGCCCATCTCTATCGAAAAACAACGGTCTCGACGCCGAACGATCACGGTTCGACGTTTAACCCTCTACGGGCCAGCATAAGTTTGAGGTCACGGACCAGTTTCGCCATTATTAAGCAAATGAGAATGTTCTCTTGTATGTTCGACCAATGTAAATTGAAAATTCCAATATGACTGCTCATTTGCACATGCACAACTGCCTAGTGTGACCTTAACCCTTTAAGTGTTTTATTTCATTCCGAAAACGTACACTTGTGTGCTCGATTATTTTTAAGGTATGACGAGTATACTCGACTAAAGCAGAGTAAATGCATTTGCTGTAAAATCAAAATAAATTCTAATAAATTGACAAAATTACTCTTACGACTTGAGCGCCATCTGTTGTTCAAAAAAAGTTGCTGCCTTATCAAACAGCCCTCGTATATGTATATCTATACTGCTGCATATTTCTCTTTTTTTTTAAACTGAATTTTTCTCTATACATATATAGTATTTTCTTATTTTGTCCTGTTCTAAATGTGTTGACATTACGAATATGTTTTTTGTTTTACCTAAATATTACTTTAAATAGAGTTTAGATGACGAGTTTACTCGTCATTAAATAAAAAAATGCAATCACTTCATAACGAATATACTCGATATAAACATCGAAAGGGTTAAAGTGGAAAATTTATTTTCAACAAACTGATACCTTCGAAATTGAAAGTTTAAATATGGTGTGTTCAACTGGTTAGTAGTAAACACTATATTATGGAGATGAAAATTGTTTCGAACGATACAAATTAATTTTCATTACAGAGGGTCAACCTATATAGTATGGAGAAGATGAATTTAGTCGTGATCCGTGGTAGAATTCGACTAACTACCCACTTTTCTATTTACATACCCGCAGAATCCTTCATTCAATCAGGTCGACTGCATTGCCATTAGTGTAAGTCACATTCTTATTCTTATACATCCTTAACCTTTCGCGGTCCAAAATATTCTTAGTATACCATTTCGGGACTGGCATAAATATCATAAAATTCAACATTTTAACACGTCGATTTAGTAATATATCCGTGACATTAAAGAGGTATTCAGACAATTATTTATGTGCTATGCAGATGAAATATTGCGACATACGCCCATAGATCACTAGACGGCAATAAAACCGAATGTCGAGTCGGTCTCGACATAGGACCGTGAGGTTAGAAATGTCCCTCGGTCGACAGATTAATCCTCGGAAGGCCGGAGCCGGGTCATTTCTGACCCATACCGAAATCTCGTATAAATAACAAATTGTACTTAAAATTTGTGTTTGAGTTTAGCAGTTAAAATTTGTAATTTCTAGACAAAGTCTGGGTCTCGAGTGACCCCCACGTTCGTCATCCGAAGGTTAAATACTTCACCCTGACGTTCATTTAATTAAACGATTATTCACTATTTTATTCTATAGATGGAATTATTATGGTAATGGACAACGTTTCTAGTCTGCATGTCCAATTTATACTTGAAATATTCTTCGTTCTTTTCAACCTGAAAAACTAAAAAATAGAAAACATTCCCTGATACTTCTTTTGAGGTCTACCTACAAACCAGCAAAATTTCCAAAAAATTGCCAATAAGTTTTTGATTAACATTAGAACTACCGAGTCCGTTAAAGTAACGGAATTCACATTTGTTATTTTACAATAACTGAAATCATAAAAGTGCTTTCGTCGATATTCATGTCAACCTTTAATTCGTTATATATTCTACATTACACTATATTATGCTATACTATATCATATAGTATAAATATTAATATATCATAAAATTTAATTTATTAAATACTCAACGCTGGTAGTTCTAGTGTTGACGAAACGATCCGTCGTAACGCCAGATTCGTAGCCGTTTCATCGAGCTTTTCAAATATCATAGAACGTCACTATACAGGGTGTACTAAAGGGTTGTAGATCCCTGAAATGGGTCACTCGTCAGGTGATTTGGAACAAGTTTTTTCTTAGCAAAAATGTTATCCGAGGCTTTGCTAACGAGATACTAACGAAAAATCCCGACCAATCAGGGGGCAAGTCTGTCGGCCGAGCTTCCGCGGTAGCATTGGCTACCAACCACAGCATGTAATCAACGACGCTACTGCGGGAGTTCGGCCGGCAGACTCGCCCTCTGATTGGTCGGGGTTTTTCTTTAATATCTCGTTAACAAAGCCTCGGACAACATTTTTGTTAACGAAAAATTTGTTCCAAATCACCTCGCGAGTGACCTATTTTAGGGACCTGCAACATTTTTGTTACACCCTGTACCTATATTTGTTTAAAGTTAAGATTACCATAACGATTGATTTTCAACTATCAACCAAAGATTATGTCACCCAGATATAGGTGACACAGCGATCGACGTGTTCAACACAGGTACATAATATGTCGAACTGTCCGTGTTTTTTGTTTTGTCGTCCGCTGACTTGGCCATTTGAATTACAAAAGCAATTTGTGCAAATTGCGCACCCTTAGAAAAAAACTCATACCAAATGCGGATCGATCAGTGAGGAGGGGAGATACACGCGGTATCACCTGCCTTCGACTCGTGTGTTATTGACGGTCACTGTGTATTAAGTGCACTTGCCTTGCCGTCTACCTTTTTTTTCTATTAAACAAAATACGTTTAAGCGAATAGGAATTCTCTCATCGTTCGTTAATTAAATCGTTCTATTATTCAGATTTTTATTTCTTTATCAGTGGTTTCACTGATACCATTGTGCCGTAGTTAACTAACGCAATTACCTAACACGTAAGCGAAATAAGAACACTCGTGATACGTCGTTTAACCCTTTAGCCACTGCAGAGTTGGACAAAATGTGTTACCTACGTTATGACAGTTTTTCACGAATAGAATACAAGTGAGTCTCATATAAAACGTCGTACAGTGACCTAAAGAGCGGCGTTTGCTGGCCAAAATTAAAAACACCTTCATATCGATTTTTTTCAACAAAATATAATTAATTGTAACTAATATAACCAATGTAACTAAAAAGTACAGTTTATTTGAATAAACCAAAAGATAACGAAATATGAATTAGAATGCGAATTTTATTGCATCGAAAGCAGACTATATCGTACGAGCACGCGATAGCACGAGCAATATAAAAATATTCAACGAATTGATTCGTCTGAATTTCTATTTCATGTAACCGTCGCGTCGCTTCGGAAAATCAATCGAAACAGCAATTTAAGTATTTTTTATTTAAGTGTTTCGACATACAGCCATTTCGCAAACATGCAATTGCAGACTTCAGAAAACGTGATAGATAATTTCTTCAACGTGACAAGGAAAGGAGAAACGCTCAGATAAGACGAGAAAAGAATATGGTTTTACTATTTCCTTCGACATTCTGAAAAGTCGCAAATTTTTCAAAATTTTTTTAACACATCATTTAGTACACTAATCCTTCTAACTTCACAAAGAAACTCAAGTCACTTGCTCCAATTTTGAAAGAATTGTTCTGTTTTAAATGGTGTACGAATACTTTTTGAATCCAATGTAGTCGATTACTTATCGACATATCTAATAGTATCTATTAAATTTGACAACTAAATAACTGTAAAACTTCGAAAAGGAACCATATTTGAAAGACGGACGATCGCATCTCTGGGTCCCGCCTAGTCGCTCAAGGGAACCCCGTAAAGATCATCGACTAAAAAAAAATCCAAAAACGATATTCAGTCCTGTTAATCCCCGAAGAGAAATTTGAATATTCGTGATATTCAAATTTCGTAAATAGTGACCTTGAAAAAAACAACCACGGGACAGATCTAGATGACTTCGTTCATTGGCATGTTTTCGAAATACGTATCTATATAAATAAGCTGACATGGGAAGCTGTCGTAAAAGTTTTAAAGGTCTCGGCCATTGAACACAGCCGGCTTATGCGCGTTCCGTAATTATACAACGGCCTGTTACGTAAAATGTTTCGAAAAGTGTCGCGAAAGAAGTCAGCGACAGCGTCTTGATCTTGATCTCGAGCGTCTGGTCGTTGCGTCGAGACGATCAACGGATGTGATCGGCGATTTTTACGCTGTGCTTGCATTCCCCGGTTTTAACCGTTCCCGCCGAAACAACGATAAGACGTTGCGCAGCATTTCCTGTTTCTTCATCGCGTAGTTACGATAAATTGATCTCTTTAGTGTAATCTCAGTCTGTTTACACCAGATTTACCAAGCTGTAAAACTGACGGACTTCAAATTTTTTATTTTACAATTATTTAAATCGTAAAGATACTTTTGTCGAAATTTATGTTGACTTTTAGTTGATTATACATTTTACGTTATACTGTATTATGTTACATTGTAGTATTGTATATTGATATTTTTAATAATTATTCTATTTCCACTAGTTTCTAAACTGAGAAAATTGAGTTTAAAGTTTATATATTATATGTTAATATATTATATAATTTATTTAGAGTAGATTCAACGCTGGTACTTCTAGTGTTAATCCTTCTGTTCCTTGAATTTAACAGTTCAACAACATAATCGAAGATAAAACATAAATTACAATCACAAAATATGATTACAACCTTATTACGTTTTTGATCATGTTGTCGAACACTTGAAGAATTTTTGCCTTCAGAACTTATGACAAAAATTATCTACCG